GGGCCTGGTGTGCTCTGGTCCATGGGGGTCACGAGGAGTCGGACACAACTTAACAACTAAACAACAACAATGTAGCCTGTTGTTGTCTGACATTACCTGGGAGGGAGCAGATTTCATGCTTGCTGCCAACCGTGGGCCTGAGTGCCTTTATTGACGTAGGTTCCTTTCATGTGTCCTGGAGGATAGTGGCTGTTTCCTCCTCTGAAGAAGAAATGAGAGGCCAGATCTCAGTGCTAAGTTTTCAGAGTCTTGGGTTCCATCCCTCTGTGTTTCCCGACAGGTCCGGAGAGCCCCTGCCAGTCGTGCGACACTGGATCAACTTTTCCTCCTCCCTCCTCTTCCCTTACTTCTTGTGTGTCACATCCTAATTTAGGTTGTACACCAGAAGGGCAGGTATTGCTAAGCCACTTACGTTTGTAAGCTACTGTGGGAGCCTTTTTGGCTAAAGGGTGGAGTATAGACCCTTTAAGTAGGTAATAATAATGTTTATACGGATAGTTTGGTTCTGGCTCACTGTATTTTGCAGCTGCCTAAGCTTTCGTTCTGTATTCATTTGTTAGGAAGACTATGAAGCTGGTTTTATACCAGATCAGACCTTGAGCTTCTAAATCAATGGTTAAAGTTTATGTGATGACCTTTAATTGGTTAAAAATAGCAATTCAAGAAGTTGTTCCTTAACTTGTTAAGTGACAGTGGCTTTAACAGATTGAATCAGCACATCGAAGCAATCAGCACATTGCGTTTTTTTTAATGTGTTACTGTTTTAGGGGAATAGCTTAAGGATATTGGGGCTGTGTTTCACACTTTTAATTAATTTATTTTTAAATGTCAAACTAACATTGCGCAACGCCTTATTCATCCTTTAACAGAACATTTTAATTCTCCCTTCAACTCTGACAGCTGAGGAATTAATTTAATTGGTTAAGGAATTAGTTTAATTGAACATAAATGAGACCAAGCTCTTGATATCTCTGATTAGCTCAATATAATAATAATAAATTTGAACTGCAGAGTTGGAAGGGACCCTCTGGGGCGTCGGGAATTGAACTCCCAACCTCTGGCTCCTTAGCCAGGGAACTAAACCACTGAACCATCCAGCAGTTCTGTGTCTACTGTGCTATTGACTGACATTTTATTTGTATGCCATTGTCTCCCCACATGGAATATAAAGCAGCTCACAAAGAATTAAAACTGTACAATAACCACAATTTAAAGCACGATAAGAAATTAAACAACAACAAAAATTAAACTTCTATTACTATTAACACTGCCATTAAAAACATTTTAGAACACATTTGAAGATCTCTAAATTTAATGAAGACAGCCTTTGTTAGAACCCCACTTAAAACTCTGCCGGAAGAGGAAGACCTTTGCCTGTCAATCAAAGGACAAGAGGGGCGGGACCAACCCGGCTGCTCCGGGCAGTGCATTCCAAAGTCTGGGGGCCACCACCGAGAATTCCTTCTAGCGTGTCCTTAGCAGAGGAGCCTGGGAAGGTGGGGAAACTGAGAGAAGGACCTCAGGGATGGTGAGACTTGTAGTACAAGATCTGGAAGGCAGTTGGTCATCACATCTTGTCTTTTATTATTACAGTGGTGCCTTGCTTAATGATTGCTCCATACAGCGACGAAATCGCTTAGCGATGGACTTTTTGCCATCGCCAGAGCGATCGCTTAGCAATGGCCCCTATGGGTAAAAATCGCTTTGCGATGATCACGGGGACGCGATCATGGCAAAGCGCCCATTTTTTAACAGCTGATCGGCGGTTCCAAAATGGCCGCCGGAAAAACAAAATGGCGACCGCTGTTTTGCCTCGCTTTAAAGGCACCCAAAATGGCCACCGCTATGGAGGATTTTCGCTTACAGGTAAGTTTTTAGCCCATAGGAACGCATTAAACGCATTTTAATGTGTTCCTATGGGCTTTTAAAAATCGCTTAGCGATTACATCGTTTAGCGATGTTTTTCCTGCACGGATTAATGTCGCTAAATGAGGCACCGCTGTATTATTATTTTGAAGAACTAGCAGCAGATCCCCAGCAGAAAAGGTGTTTTCCCTCGCCTCCCTGACCAATTTAATTGCAGAAGGCAAAGGCTGAATATATAACAAGTATGTTCTCCTCTATCTGATAACGCCATCTGAGCAGTTGCCCCTTCCCGGGGAAGATGGGCTTTGCAGTATACAGTCCCAGACTTGCTATGTTGTTAGATGCAATTTTTCAGGTTTGAAATGACATGACATTAGTATGTGATATCCTAAACAGGTATCCAGTGTGGTGTAATAGACAGAGTAACGGACTAGGACTCAAGGGGCCTGGGTTCGAATCCCTGATCAGCCATGGAAACTCTTTGAGGGTATGGAACTAGTAAAGCCCCTTGGATATCTCACCTTGAAGACCTCTTTGGATCCCTCTAATTCTGAATTCTAACTTGACAGCAGAGAAACAAAGATGGGTACTCCCATGAGCCCAAGTACTTTGGAAACCTATGATTCTCCTGAAGATTTAATATGAGTTTATGCTTGGCTCCGACCCAAAAGGCTAATTTTGTCTCGAAGCGACTTCAGTCTGTGTATAATAAGATCCAAACAGGTATTTATTTGTTCTTGATTGCACTAAAATCACCAATTATGAGTTACATGTGCGGCTTCTGCCAATTTGCCAGAAACGTGTTTAAAAAGCATTAGAAATATGGGGGAAAAAAGTGGGAGGGCGTGTTTCCCTCTGGCCACCTTTAGCCACCCAGGAATGTGATTCACCTCCGGCAAAGAGAAACGTTTTTTTTCCTCTAGTCAGCAAAACAGATCGCTTCTTCTCGTTTTAAATTACAGGTGTCAAAATAACATGAGACGGAGGGTTTCTAGCTGAGGAATGGTAGCATCTCAGACGGTTTCCTTAACTGCTTTGTCGATGCAGTGAAAGGCAATCTCACAATTGGGTTTCTACAGAATGCCCTCTTTTCAGTTCTGGTCATAGCAGCCAGGAACATTGCAGGAGATTCATTCGGTTGAGTCGTGTTAACTAGTTTCCCCGGTTTCCCATCCATCTGGGCTAAACAGAAAAAAAAAAACTGGACCAGCATGTAGTTAGTAATCTGTATTTCTGGGCTTGTAGTGTGCCTGGTGGGGAAATGAGAGAGAGGATCTTCTCTGTGGCTGGTCCCAGACTCTGGAACTCCCTCCCACTGGAGACCCAGCTGGTCCCATCATTACTGCCCTCCCCCAACCAGGCAAAGACCCTTCTCTTCAGGCAAACTTTCCCAGGAGGGCCTGGCGTGCTCTGGTCCATGGGGTCATGAAGAGAACGACACGACTAAATGACTAAACAACAGCAAAAACAACAACAAATGCTTTTCCAGCTGAGCCGTCTATTCCTGCAGATGCTTCTGGGAAGCCTGTCCCTCGGACAGAGAGAAAGCAGCTTCCGCTCTCCTGTGTCTCTGAGTATACGGCTTCTGGTCCTCCCGCTTGACGTGGTGTGTGATCAGACAGGCTTCATTCGTGTCACTGTATACGCACATTGTTTCCAGCGCTTATCAATATTTCAGACCACAGCTGCTGAAATCCCTAGCTAGCGTGGATGCTGCCTGGGCTGTTTGGTGCTACCTAGAAGTTGCAACGCAAAAAGTGGATTTCCCAACTCTGCTCTCCTCCCCTTCCAAGTGAAACAGCCCCAGATAACGCTGATTTTGCCCAGGCCTCGTTCATTTCAAGGGAGCCTACTCCGATCAGCTTTCTGCTGGGTTGGGGATTTTGAAAAACAACTGCCACCTGGCTTCCTTTATTTTGCATCAGATGTAAATTATAGGTGTGGAAGTCGCTTCTTCCACAGGTCTCGTGTGAGCCGTAAGATGCTCCGGCCGAAGCGCTTGCCCTTCCCCCCCGATGCTTGCTTTTTCCTCCCAAGGTTCAGGCAGGTGCTGGATGGAAGTGAAGGGCAGGTGAGATTTTTTTAAAGTGGTGTCTTGATTGTGAGACACAGCGATGGGAGGCTGCCCGCCAGTTAGTTAGCAGCCGGCGTCTTAGCCTGCGGAGTGAGCTGGTGTAGTTGTTCTGCTTAAAATAAGAAATGAAAAGGGGGATGGGAAAAAATACACAAAAACCTAACCCTGCAGAACTCTGCAAGTTTGCAAAGTCTGGGCTGGGTGATGTTCTTCGCTGTCGGGTGGCTTCTGATTTATGGTAATCCTAATAGGTTTTACAGAATAATGTGAGATGTTCCAGAATGCTTACTATTCCCATCCCTATCAGTTAGTTTCTGTGGCTGAGCTGGAATTCGAACTCGCGTCTCCCAAGTCCTAGTGTGACACTCAATCCACCACACCTGTGGTCTCCAACCTTCGGCCTCCAGATCTTCTTGGGCTACAACTCCCAGAAGCCTTCCCCACTATCTTGGCTGGCCAGGATCTCTGGGAGTTGAAGTCCAAGAACATCTGGAGGCCCAAGGTTGGGGACCACTGCACGACACCACACTGGCTCCTTGTGCTCTTGGTTGAAGCACATGTGTCATCTGAATGCATTGGTGTGCAAAAGGGTGAGCAACTTGCAACCTTGCAGGTGTGGCTGAACTGCAGTTCCCATAAGCCCTAACTAGGAGATCAAGGGATGTTGCAGTTTGGGAGGCCATACATTCACCACCTTTAGGGTTCAAGACTGTCTTCCTCCATCTTTGTATCTTTGCCTTCTGGACAATTCCAGTAAGCCCCAGATGTGAACCTTCTAACAACGTTTGCAAAAGAAAAGAAAGCAAATTCACCTAAGCCCCCAGGTGGCAAGGCTAACCATGAAAAGTCATGGACGGTGCCATCAAAAGCATCAGAAGGGTTGAGTCAAGACAAGTGGGAGGGGGAAGTGTGGCCCTCCAGGTGTGGCAGCCTTGCCTCTCCCACCAGCTCAGACCATAGTGAGCCACGGCGCTGCAGTGGCTACAGCGCTAAACCGGGACGGGACAGCCGCAGGTTCTAGCTAGATCTGGCTACCTTAGGAGACTTCTGTGCTTGTTCCCGGGCCCTCGGCCAATTAAACTTGTTTGCTTTCGTGTCAGGTTCAGGTTTTGGAGCTGCCATCGAAGATCTCAGTCTGTACCTTGAAGCCCGGGACAGGTGCCAAACTGGGCCTGCCTCTGTGTCTAAAGCTGTGGCAGGTAAGCCAACGGGAGCCTCACTCGCTCGCTCATTACAAAACACTTCCCCTTCTTGTGATTCCCTTCTTTTCTCCGTTCCCCCCCCCCCCCATCTATCTACATATACATAGTAGATTCATGGAGTGCATGAATCATTCTTCACTCTGAAGAGGGTGTTTTGATTGATTGTCAAGAGCAATCAAGTAATTATGTTATTAAAGGCTGGAGGGAAGCGAGAACATCCTTCGTATTCCCGCTGGAACGTTCTGCCTTTTTTTTCTCCTCGGGCTGATGATTCGGGGTTCTTTGCAAATACGCCTCGAGGAGGTGAGCAGTCCCCACAAGTTTAGGTTCCCAGCAGCTTCAGCCTGAAGAAAAACAATGAGAAAAAGTGGTATTGGAGAAGCAACTAGACCTGCTCTTAAAAACAGCAAGCCTTCATTTGAGATACATGATCTTTGACATCTCTTGTCTTCAGCATGGCCTGAAACATACACTGATCTGTGTCTCGGGTCTTTGGCATGCATGTGTCAGACACGGTGATTCTGAAAGTAAAAGAAACCCGTTTAGAGGTTATCTCAGTTACAGGGCTGGGAAATGCATTGCGAGTCATCACCTGCAAAGAGTTACTGTATTTTTCTGTGTATAAGACGCCCCCATGTATAAGGACCCCCTCCCCACTTTTCTAATCCAAAATTAAGGAATCTAAGTGGGGCTTAGCAACGGTGGGGGGAAAGGGATCAAAGCGCTGCAGGATAGCTTTGATCCCTGCTTTCTCCTCCTCCTGTTTTCGTTCTCTCTTCAGCTTACTTCC